TCTGGATAGGGAAGAGGCAGAGTGCTCCCACGCTCGCGCAGGTGGAGGAGGGAGCCCGGGCACGGAGGAGCAGCGGCAAGGGGGCTGCAGAAGGGGTGGGAGGTAAGGAGAGGAGAGCGCTTGCTTACTGTAGGGAGGACAGGTGCTGTGCGGGCGGGCAGGGAGCCACGTTACAACAAGGCTTAGTGAACTTGAACTTCGGCAAGGGGCATGGATGGTGGCGAAGGCTGCAAGCAAGGGTCGGCCCTGCCCGGGCGAGGTCAGATCTTCTGGACGTCAGCTGCCATGACCTCCCTTCACGCCCTTGGAGTGACTGACTGCCCGGTGACTATATAAGGGCTGGCCGTGCTGGGGGCTGCGATCAGGTTCGGGGAAAGTGACACCGGTGTCCCCTCTGCACTGCATCTTTTGGCATCCTCTTCTCCCCTCCCTTCCTGTTTCTCGACTGGGCCAGCTCTGGCCTGGGATCCTTCCCTCTTAGGGAGCCGAAGTGGTTCCAGGACAGGGCAACTTTGGGTCAGCCTGCTCTCAAGAATCACGGGAGGTAGACCCGACTTCTTTAATTAAAAAAAAAAAACAAACGATTAACTGCTTTTATTTGTGTGTTGTGGTCATATGTGGAGGTCAGAGGAGAATTTGTAGGAGTCGTTTTTCTGCGTTCATCATCTGAATCCCGAGATGGAACTCTGGTAGTCAGAGTTGTGGGGTGGACAGGCTCCTTTAGCAGCTGAACCATCTCGCTGCTCCCCCATTCCTCCAACCATTCTGTTTTAATGAGGACAAATGTAGCTCACACCATAACCCCAGAACTCGGAACATAGAGGCAGGGGGATAGCAAAGCTAATTCCAGGACAACCAGGCCTGTATATATGGTGAGTTGCTGGCCAGTTTGACTACAGACTATCTCAAAAATAAATAAAAAAGCAATGCCTCCCCGGAGTGTTCTATTTTTATACAAGTTCAGCATAAGTAATTGTGTCGTGTAGTTTTAGTTATTCTACAGAACCTGCCAGTTTGAAGGACAGAAGACTTTTCTTCCAAGAAAGTGTAGGACCCTTCGTTGGTAGACATGTAATTCGTTTTGAGGTGACAAACATAGCCTGCTATATTTACTTAAAAACGGGGGGGGGGGGAGGACTTCAAGATGGCCCACAAAGTGGAAGGGGAAAAATCAAGCTTAAAAAAAAAAAGTGTTCCTGTCTACTTTACATAAACCTTTGACAAGCATAAATATGCTCTTATGCATAGGGATTGGCGTGACTTGTCAGGCATCCGTGTTGTTTTTCTTCCCTGTGCACAGCATGAGTCTGTCTCTAAAAGCTGCTCTAGAGAGCCTTGGCTTTGCAAGTCAAAGTGCTTTTGTTTGGAGAAACTGGATTTCCCATTTAGGGACGAATTCCTGGTGGCTTCTGTGGAACCCAGCACACCCGAAGATCCACCTAGAGGAGACAGAAGCCCCTGGGATGGACTTACTAAGAATAAGAAGTATGCTGAAAATGGGAGAGAACTTTTTGTTTTGTTTTTGTTTTTTGGGTCTTTTAAAAGTTCATTTCCACCTGGGCTTGGTGGTGCACACTTGTAATGCCAGCACTTTGGGAGGCAGAGACAAGTGGATTTCTGAGAGAGTATTATAATTTTTAACTTTTCGTTTACTCTCTCTCTCTCTCTCTCTCTCTCTCTCTCTCTGTGTGTGTGTGTGTGTGTGTGTGTGTGTGTGTGTGGTGTGAATGTGCCAGGATGTGATGTGGAGGGCAGAGGACAACTTGACAGAGCTGTGCCGCCTTGGCACAGCAAGTATCTTTACCCAAAGAGCCACTCACTGCCCCCCTTTATTTTATTTGTGTTTTACAATATTTTCAGTCATCATCATCAGTGTATGTCTGTATACATGCCACAGAGAGCATGTGCAGGACAGAGGACCACTTTGTGGAGTCAGCCTTGCCTTACATTTTTACATGCGTTCTGGGCATCAAACTCAGGTCCTCACTGGGTAGCAAGTTCTGTTACCTCTGAACCATCTTGCTAACCCTATTTAATAAAGCAAAACTGGGGGTCGGGGGGTCGGGGGTGATGCACGTCTTTAATCCCAGCACTCTGGAGGCAGAGACTAGTGGATCTTTGTGAGTTCAAGGCCAGCCTGGTCCACAAGAGTACCTTCCAGGACAGCCAGGGCTACACAGAGAAACCCTGTCTCAAAAAAACAAAACAAAAACAAACAAAACAGGGTTCACTGTATAGCCCAGGCTAGACTCAAACTCAATGATCATCTTCCTGTACTTGAAACCTAGTTGTAATCCATGCCCATTCTTGTCTGAATAGTTCTGCAGGGGCCTCACAGTAAACCATCTGTGCCGAAAGTGTAGGAGTTACAATGTTCCAGAAGGTTTTGGTTTTATGCTTTAGAACTTCACTAGTTTCTCAAACCTAGCCGCACATCAGATTTCTAGGGTCTTTTAAAAGTTCATTTCCACCTGGGCTTGGTGGTGCACACTTGTAATGCCAGCACTTTGGGAGGCAGAGACAAGTGGATTTCTGTGAGTTTGAGGCCAGACTGGTCTACTGAGTGAGTTCCATGACAGCCTCCAAAGCTACAGAGAAACCCTGTCTCAAAAAACCTTAAAAAAAAAAAAAAAAAGCCAGGGGTTGGTGGCACAACCCTTTACTCCCCGCACTCGGGAGGCAGAGGCAGAGGATCTCTGTGAGTGCGAGACCAACCTGCTCTACAAGAGCTAGTTCCGGGACAGTCTTCAAAGCCACAGAGAAACCCTGTCTCAAAAAACAAAAACAAAACAAAAAAGTTCATTTCCTCCTGGGGTTGGTGGTGTACAATTTTAATGCCAGCACTTGGGAGGCAGAGGCAAGTGGATCTCTCAATTTGAGGCCAGACACTATAAAACTTGACCTCAGTCAGGTTCAATGGTACCCACTTGTTATCCCACCTCCTCAAGATGCAGAGGCAGAAGGATTGCAAGTTCAAGGCCAGCTTGAACAACTTAGACAGATCCTATCTTAAAATGAAATTGTATTAAATTTTTCATTATTACATTTTATTTGTTTATTTATTGTGTGTGTGGAGTGCTACCATTGCACATGTGTGGTGGTCAGAGGACAAGGCAGGTTTCAGATCTTTCCTTTGACCATGTGGGTCCCAGGGATTGAACTCAGGCCTGGTGGCAAATGTTGTTACCTGCTACGCCGTAAGCCATCTTTCTGGCCCTCAGGGGGGAAAAATATATGTGTGTGGGGGGTGTTTTGTTTTATTTTTGGAGATTGGGTTTCTCTGGGTAGCCCTGGATATCCTGGAACTCACTCTTTACCAGGCTAGCCTCAAATTCAGAGATCCACCTGCCTCTGCCTCTTGAGTGCTAAGACTAAAGGCGTGTGGCACCACTGCCCAGCAAAATTCATTTTCGTTTATTTATTTTGTGTGTACCCAGCATATATGTGGAGTTTAGAGGACACTTGTCAACTTGAGGGAACTGTTTCTCTCCTACCATGTGGGTCCCAGGGATTGAACTCAAGTTGTCAGAATTGGCAATAGGAATCTTGCCTGCTGAGGTATCTATCACCCAACCCAAAATAAACAGTTTTAAAGG